GGCCGAATTGTCACCTGATGAAAATGGGTCATGTATGATAACAGGAGACGTTCCGGACAGTGGTTGGATTTCGACGAACCACCGAGGTAATTTTCAAAGCCGAACCCTCACGAAAAAAGATTCTGGTCACGGTTGGTGGTCATCGGCTGGTGTGATCCACTATAACTTTTATCACCAGGCCAAACCATCACAGCAGAACCCTACTGTGAAGAAATCAACGAAATGTACCGATTCCTTTGCATGACAACGCCCGCCCACACGTTTCACAAATCACTATCCATAAATTGAACGAATTGGGGGTTGAAGTTCTACCTCAACCGCCATATTCTTCAGACCTTTCGCCAACCGACTATCACCTTTTCTAACATTTTCAGAACTCCCTTGCTGGAAAATACTTCATCAATCAGGACCAGGCAAAAAAGCCTTAGTGGATTTCGTGAATTTTCGACCACCCAGTTTTTACTTTGATGGGATTTCTCGACTGCTGTCACATTGGCAAAAGTGTGCTGATTCGAATGGTGCCTATTTCGATTAAATCCGATGAGTATTAAAAAAGTTACGATCGTTTAAAGTGAAACACCCAAAACGCTGAGAACTTTCCGGACAACCTAATATTAATCCTACTCGTCTTTTAGGATCTATCGCTGCCAAGCTGCCTTTAAATGATCATGAACGTGTAGGAATACTGAATACTCGCTGCCAAAAATTCATGTCTATAGTCTTCTAAGCTGACGGGTACTCTGGCATGTCGGTTGGTTGGTTAGGCTGAGAATAATCGGCTAAACTTTAAACTTTACCGAAGGGAACACGGACAGGTCAGACAACGTGGTCGACGACGCAAAACAACCCATGGATTTTTCTGACCTGTCAAAGCAGCTTCAAGACTGCCACGCCACTAATCCCGCGCCATGTGAGCACCGTGACCGGGTACGTAGCGATTCTATCACGGGTCGTCGCGGTGTTGGGCGTGGCCTGTGACGCCACAATCTTTGCGTACGAACTGTGTTGTCTCACGGAGCATTTGAATTATCAGAGAGATTGCATCTCATTGCTTCTCAAAGAACGGGCTTGACCAGAGATCCCTCGTTTCTGTGTCTGGATTGGACGGTGTAACCTCATTAGCTGGGGCATAAAATTTTGCCCGCCTCCCCAACGTGACCACTACCTCCGCCCATTTTCCCCACCTTTTATGAGTTCTTTCCAAACACCATCTCGGGCGGGTAGGAGAAGAAGAGCAGATGGTTGCACTACACCGTGCTCTCGGGAAAACTCTCCGGCGAGCAGATGCGTCGCGTGCCTACTGTTGCCGCAGCGATGAGAAAAGCATATCCCAAGAATACGCGGAACATTTCTCGACATTGACTGATAGGAAGCTGATCTATCGAATCAAAGTGATATCAAGGTCTGTCAACGTTTAGACCTTTGCTATCACGTCCTTCTCTTTCGCCGCAACATCGCAGCGACATCGCTCGGCACGCGCCGCGTACGCGCCACCGGTGAGTTTCTCTTTACCCCCTTTCGCGTGCTCCCTACCCTGAAGATGTTCGCAACGAACTTCGAAGGAGCACCCGCAAAATCACTACTGATGTAAGAGTGAATGTATGGAATAGATTTGTAAGTAGAAGATCGATACAACCCTTAGCAAAAAGAGCTTATCTTGTTTGACAATGCACACTGTAGGTTAAGGGGACAGCAAGTAGCACGCTCTCAATTCGTTGACTAACCTTATCGAAAGTGATGTATTCCGATCCGTTGACCAAGCCGTTGAGAGCGTCATCGACGGCATCCACGGGATCGTTGACGAATTTCTTTGTAACGGCGGCCATTGATCGTCGTTGTTGAACGAGTAACCGAGTAGAATTGCTTTTTGATACGTTATGAATGGATCGACCTATTACTAGCAACGTGGAAAGTTTCAACATCAAGTGATGTGGATGACGAGTTGAAAACAAAAGAAGCGCTATCCGTTATCCGATTGATAAAAGTGTAAGGGGGTTACTGAACGAGACTCGATCAATACAGAGAGTACTCGTGCTGCGACGCATTGGAGCGACACACAGCAATCTTTCACTGATTATTGAGGTGATTATTCTCTGATATGTCCTTACTTTTTTGCGATAGTGGAGCTCGAATGTTTTTCAAAATACAATCCTCATCTTTAATGATGGGAATTTTAAAGAAAGCAAAAAGGGTTAATAAGAGGATTAGAAATATCAGCATTTTGATTTTAATGCTCCAGATCGGAGAACTATCTTCAAATCAGCACATTTATATGCACGCGCGCTTATCAGTCCCGGGAGTTTTTTCGTAAAACTTTTACTTCTTACAGAGCCCGGAGTACCGCGAGATAATGAAGTGCTAATCATTACTTTCTTCGACTGTTAGACACATTTGACCCCATAAGCATCAAAGAGCTCACAGATTGCCTTCCCTGAAACCAAAGACTTCAAATAAGCTGCGTTCATACTTTGCGTCAGCGTTCTGAAAGTGCAGCAGCGTTTTCTACGGCTGCCCGCCGGAACTCAGAAGTGCCCGCGAAAACGTTCTAAACGCTGGCGTACGCTGAGAACGCTCAAAACGCTGAAGCAAAGTGTGGACGCAGCTACAGTTGCAGTGTAATGTGGAACTGTAGCTTGAGTAAATTCGGCCGCGTTCATACTTCG